AAACAATTGTGTTAGGTTAAAATGAGCTTGTTAATAAGGTTTGAGCAATGCTTCTGAACACTAGCTGTGCTGACTGAAGAACTTACCAAGATTCAAGAACTATTTCAAGCACCATTAAAACAGTGCTGGCCTTTTGAGTGGAAAACACATTTGAAAAAATGCACGTTTTTTCTCATTCCTTCAAGCACTCCAGGATTTCAGATTAAACACAGCACATACAAAAGAGAACTGAACTCCTGTGAAAACTGAGCCCTATGGCTCAAGTGCATCCAGCCACACCTTGGCCAGCAGCCACTCCCCTAGCACACAGCATTTCATCTACAGCACTTGTCACAGGAATGCAGTGTTGATTTGACCCAGTCACCTAATGGCTTGCTGGTAGCCAGCATCAGATTGCTCAAGCAAACAGGGAGAACAGGTGCCCACCCCAGTGCTGGCTTTGCACACTTTTAGGGTATTTCTTCACAAGGGTTTATTTAAAGGGTAAACCACAACCATTGGTGGTGTGTCCAGATTACCATGTACACATATTTTAGCTAACTCGAGGGAATTGGCAAACAATTAACTAAACTCTAGTGTAGACATGCACTTAGAGAAAGTTAGAAGATTGCTTAATCTAGTAGATGACAGTTTGAAAATCATTAAACATTTGGTGGTGCTATAGGGAGACCTCATAGGTCTAATGAATCAAACTCTCCTCATTTCCAACTGTTTCTACAGATATATGTGTATTGCACTAAAAGCTGCTAAAAATAAATTTTCCATCTAAGCATTTGCTACAGTTGCCACAGGGATAGTACTGATTGTTCATGGAAAGAAGAGCAGAACACACAATTGCAAATAAGAGTGGGAGTGTCCATGACACAATTTATAGGCCATGTCTATACGTACAGCACTGTAGTGGTGCAGCTGTACTGCTACAGCTGTGCGGCTGCAGCACGTATGGTGAAGACGGTCTGTGCTGACAGGAGAGAGTTCTCCCATTGGCATAAAAAACCCACCTCCATGAGTGGCAGAAGCTATGTCCGCAAGAGAACCTCTCCCGCTGACACAACACTATGCACATGAGCACTTATATCACTGTAACATGTCACTTGGGGGGTGGTTTATTCACACCCCTGAGTGGCATAAATTATGCTGACACAGGCTGTAGTGTGGACATGGCCTAATTGACTTATGGTCCAAACCTTGGAAAAGTGACACAAAACTTGTCCTGGGGTACCCTTATAACGTACATGATTATAGTGTAGCATTTGATTAATTTTTTAAATCCTAAAACAGGGAGCAAAGCACTGGGGAGGAGACATGGATTCATGCTGAATCTTGTCTCTGCATATGTGTAAAGAACAAGGTGTGTCTTAGTTACAAGGGCCTGGAGACTTCTAGAGGAGAGGTGTGTGGTAGTTACTGGGCATGCTCAGTAGGTGTCTCTGAAAGTGGTAGAAGGTTTCCATTAAAGTCAAACCATTTGCAAACATCCACCATTTGAGGTCAGTGAGGAAAAGGTTATAAATAGAGGGAGTTGGAGTTTGGAGACAGCCTTATATACTAATTGGTTGGACATCCCAGGGTTAAGGCGTATCTGCTATCAGAATACCATTCCAGAGCCTGTGCTAGTTAGCATCCGGACTCCCGATGTATCTGAAAACTGAAGAACTGCTTAATATTGACTCTAGGACAGGAACTGCTGCTGGTTGTGAGGATCTTTGGACTGCTTTGCCAAGGCAATTTTCAGGAGTTCAGCAGGAACTGTGAAGTTGCTATTCCTCTGGTTCTGAGGAGAATAGGTGACATGCACTTCTGAAGACACACTAAAGAGAAAACAGCAAGGAGTACTTGTGGCACCTTAGAGACTAATACATTTATTTGGGCATAAGCTTTCGTGGGCTAAAACCCACTTCATCAGATGCATGGAATGGAAAATACAGTAGGAAGATATAGATACATAGTATATGAAAAGATGGGAGTTGCCTTACCAAGTGGGGGGTCAGTTCTAACGAGACAATTCAATTAAAGCGGGCTATTATCAACAGGAGGAAAAATCACTTTTGTAGTGGTAATCAGGGTGGCTGATTTCAAACAGTTGACAAAGTGTGAGTAACAGTAGGAGGAAATTAGCATGGGGAAATTTAGTTTTTGTAGTGACCCATCCACCCCCAGCGGCACTGCTATGGGTACCCACATGGCCCCACAGTATGCCAACATTTTTATGGCTGACTTAGGGGACAAGAGCTGAGGAAGCATTGTTCTAACGCCCCTACTCTACTTGCGCTACATTGATGACATCTTCATCATCTAGACCCATGGGAAAGAGGCCCTTGAGGAATTCCACCAGGATTTCCACAATTTCTACCCCATCATCAACCTCAGCCTGGACAGTCCACACAAGAGATCCACTTCCTGGACATTACAGTGCAAATAAGCAATGGTCACATAAAGACCATCCTATACCAGAAACCTACTGACCGCTATACTTACCTACGAACCTCCAGTTTTCATTCAGACCACATCACACAACCCATTGGCTACAGCCAAGCTCTAAGATACAACCACATTTGCTCCAATCCCTCAGACAGAGACAAACACCTACAGCAGGGGGACACAACACTAGGGGGAGTTGCGAACACTTTAGAAGATAGAGCACTGGGTCTTAAGACTTTTGTACTGGTGACCCCTTTCACATAGCAAGCCTCTCAGTGTGACCCCCCTTATACATTAAAAACACTTTTTTATATATTTAACAGCATTATAAATGCTGAAGGCAAAGCGGGGTTTGGGGTGGAGGCTGACAGTTTGACCCCCCCATGTAATAGCCTTGTGACCCCCTGAGGGGTCCTGACCCCCAGTTTGAGAACCCCTGACCTACAGGGTCTCTATCAAGCATTCTTAAAACTACACTACCCACCTGCTGAAGTGAAGAAACAGATTGACAGAGGCAGAAGGGTACCCAGAAGTAACCTACTACAGGACAGGTCCAACAAAGAAAGTAACAGAACGTCACTAGCCGTCACCTTCAGCCCCCAACTAAAATCTCTCTAGCACATCATCAAGGATCTACAACCTAGCCTGAAGGACGATCCCTCACTCTCACATGCTTGGGAGACAGGCCAGTCCTCGCTTACAGACAGCCCCCAACCTGAAGCAAATACTCACCAGCAACTACACACCACAAAACAAAAACACTAACCCAGGAATCTATCCCTGCAACAAACCCCATTGCCAACTCTGTCCACATATCTATTCAGGGGCTCATTCACCTGCACATCTACCAATGTGATATGTGCCAGCAATGCCCCTCTGCCTTGTACATTGGCCAAACCAGACAGTCTCTACGCAAAAGAATAAATGGACACAAATCAGACTTCAAGAATTATAATATTCAAAAACCAGTCGGAGAACACTTCAGCCTCCCTGGACACTCAGTAACAGACATAAAAGTGGCAATTCTTCAACAAAAAAACTTCAAAAACAGATTCCAACGAGAAACTGCAGAACTGGAGTTAATTTGCAAACTGGACAACATCAAATTAGGCCTGAATAAAGACTGGGAGTGGATGGGTCACTACAAAAACTAATTTCTCCATGCTCCCATCTTTTCATGTACTGTTTATATATATCTTCCTACTGTATTTTCCACTCCATGTATCTGATGAAGTGGGTTTTAGCCCACGAAAGCTTATGCCCAAAAAATTTGTTTCTAAGGTGACACAGGTACTCCTCGTTGTTTTTGCTGATACAGACTAACACAGCCTACCACTCTGAAACACCACAGAGAGTGAGAACTTATTTCTATGTCAAGATGGGAGGGCAGTATGCAGATATATGTATACAAAGATATATTTTGTACTGAAATGTTACATATGCTGATAGCAGAAGTTTACAGCTCTTAAACTGGAGAGAGTGCCATATAGTTATTTCTGAATAACATTGAACTGTGGAAATTTCTTCCCACCACCTTCCCCAAAGTCCTCAAAAGTCTGAGCCCTGGCTGAGCAGCAGGCAAAAGGGGATTTAAAGTTATACATATTATAGTTCCCCAACGCATTACCCCATTTCTTTCTTTTCATCTTCCTCTGTCGCAATAGGCAGCTACTGCCCCTCATATCCTCTTGCCATGCAGGTCCTAGCACTCACACATCTTCTTGTTAAAAAATAGTCCATTCGTACCATTGCCAGGCCCAGCACTATGGCTGCCAAAGGGCACCAGCTGCTATTGCTCTAGTCCAGGGGTTCTCAAACTGGGGGTTGGGACCCCTCAGGGGGTCAGGAAGTTATTACATGGGGGGTTGTGAGCTATCAGCCTCCACCCTAAGCCGTGCTTTGCCTCCAGCATTGAAAATGGTGTTAAATATGTAAAAAAGTGTTTTTAATGTATGGGGGGGGGGTTGCACTCAGAGGCTTGCTATGTGAAAGGGGTCACCAGTACACAAGTTTGAGCACCACTGCTCTAGTCCTATGGCCCTGGACCACACCTAGGGGGAGACAGAGGCCAGCCTAAAGGCTCCAGCCAGGCTTCTTCACACAGGGTCCACGGCAGCTGTGCCTCCCCTCCATGCCCCTTCCCCAGCCACCCATTCTCTTCTCCTACCACTAATATTCTCTCCCCTGGATCCCCACTTCCGGAGGAGAACAATAGCCGCCGGAGGGTCTGGTAAAACGCTCTTCACCCATGATAAAGTAGTGTATTTACCAGCCAATCAGGAAAGCGGATTCTTTTCTCCCCTGTCCCCTATTGGGCCGGCGCAGTCCACGCCCACTCAGGTCGCGCGAGCAGTCTAGCGCTGCTGCGAGCCTCTGACAGTGTCAGACTAGTCGGCTCGCGCGGATTGAGTGGGCGGGCGCGCGCGCCCGCCGAAGTTCTGCAGTTGGTCGCCAGTCACACAGAGGCTCGCGCACGTTCCCAACCGCTGCAGTAGCCGGGTCGCTGAGGGGCGGGGCGGCTGCAGCGCGCTCCCCGCCGCCGGCCCGGGAGGAAGGAGCGGCGGGGCGCGCAGGTGACTTTGTCCGCTGGTGGCGACAATGCTGCTGCCGCCGCCCGTGAGAAGGGAGCAGGCGGCCGCGACCCCCGCCGGCATGAGCAGCCACCGAACCACCCAGCAGCCACCGCAGCCCCGCCCGCGGCACCACTAGGACTCCCCTCCCGACCCCCCTCGGCCCAGCCCCGGGGTCTGCCACTGCCGGCGGAGGGAGCGGGGCGGATTAACCCCACCCCGGCTGCGTGAGGGGCAGGAACAACCGGGCTCGCAGCGCTGAGGCAGCCCCTCCCGCCGGTCTCCGCGCCCCCGTTTCACCTGCGCAGCGGGGAAGGGAGCCCCGGAGCCCTAGCGAGCCGCTCCCCTCCCCTGCGCGGTGCTGTGTTTACCGCTACTGCAGCCCCATACCCAGCGCCCACCCGGAGCCCCCGCCCTTCCGATAGCACCCTCGTGTACTAGCCACTCGCTCCAGCTTCCCGAGCCCCCGCCGGTCATCTCCTGCTGTCACACGCTCCCCACATCCTTCTGCTCCAGCCCCAGCCTCTTCCCCGCCACCGCCGGCTCGCCTGAGGCCCTCTCCCTTGGCTGGCCCCGCTGCCGCACCGCTGTGCGCTCCATGGGAGTCTGCTACCTCCCGCTGGGAAGTGCCGCCGCCGCCGCCGGCTACTGCTGGGATTAGGAGGCAGCAGCCCCCGTCCAGGAGGAGGATGTCACTGCTCGGGAAGGTGCTGCGGGTCTCCAATCGCTCCATTCTCGCCTTTATCTTCTTCTTTTCCTTCTCCTCATCGTGCCTCTACTTCATCTATGTGGCCCCTGGGATAGGTAAGCAGGGAAGAGCTCCGCTTGGGCGGGCGGGTGAGGTGGAGGGTTATAAATCTCTTAACTTGCCAGAATCCCCAAGTGTGAGGAATGTAATTGGGACAGAAGCCCAAGGTAAGAGTGTCTGTGAGTCTGTTTTGGGGGAGGCTTTAAATAATAATGGGCTTTGCATAATACAGCACTGGGGAGATCTTTCAGAGTAAGAGAGATGCTACAAAAATGGTATTGGATGGAAGTAAATTTAGGTCTAAAACTAAAGGATATTCCCCTCAAGGGATGATGAGCGAGAGATTGAAGGATCGTTAGGGTAGTACAGTATATGTCTGTTGCACCTTTGTAAACATAAAGTCTATGTCTATGCTTAAAACGCTGCAGCTACACTTCTGTATTGTTTCAGTGTAGACATTCTGCCTCCCATCGCTGCAGATGCTCCCATCACTAGTTAATCCACCTTCCCAAGAGGAAGTAGCTAGGTTGATGTAAGAACTTTCACATCAACCTAGTACTGGCTGCACTAGGGGTTGGTTGCTTAATTATGTTGCTCAGAGGTGTGGATTTTTCACACCCTTGAATAATGTAGCTGGGTTGACCTAACTTTTTAGTGTCAACCTGTTCGCAGTGGCCACAGCAAGGTAACTGCCTAACCATTGTGGAGTTTGTTTTTTGACATCTCAGCAGGGAAAAAGTTTTTAAGATGGAATTTCAAGGAATGCAGTGAAGTGGCTTTGCCGATATTTTTGGATGGTTCTACCAGGCATAACAGGAAAAAGTCCATAGGTGCTTGTTGGAAAAATGTTTGTTAGGGCTGGTCCACACTACCCGCCTAATTCGGCGGGTAGAGATCGATCTTCTGGGATCGATTTATCGCTTCTCATCTGGACGCGATAGATCGATCCCAGAAGCGCTCCCCCGTCGACTGCGGAACTCCTGCTCGCCGAGAGGAGGAAGCGCTGTCGACGGGGGAGCCTGCCTGCGCCGCGTGGACCCGAAGTAGGTACTTTTAGTTCGATATAGGAAACGTCGACTTCAGCTACGCTATTCTCGTAGCCGAAGTTGCGTTTCCTATATCGATCCCCTGCCCCAGTGTGGACCAGCCCTTAGTCAATCACAATTGGCATAATTTGGCTGACATGTCAGTATCATATGAAAGAATCCTTCCCTCCTTACCTCACAGAGTTGAAACAACCAGTGCTATAAAGTATCATCTAATAAGCTAAAAGCCCTCTGGTAGAACACTGAAGACAATAGGAATGCAGACTAAAAAAGCAGCACACTAATCAGTGGTTTTTCTTATCAGTTTTACCCAGACATCCGTAGTTACTTAAGATTAGTGTTTCTTGTACTGATACTGTTCTTCATTTAAATGGGACTTCAAAAAATGGTAGAAACATGTTAAGAGACTGCTCAGTGACAGAAGAGAACAGCCCCCAGTTAAAAAAATCATCCTGGCTCTTGATTTATACCAGTCATCAAGTACAGGGGAGCATATTTACAATTTAAGAGGTGTATTTAATTTAAGTGGCTCCAGCAGGGGACAGGGAGCCAGAACTCCATGGCTCTATTCCTGGTTCTGCCATCAGTGTGCTACGTGACTAAAGAATCTTCAGTATTTGTGCCTCAGTTTCCTCATCTACAAAATTGGGATGATATTTATTTAGCTCATAAGAGTGCTGTGAGGATTACTTAGGGCTGGTCTACGCTGAAAAGTTACATTGGCATAGCTACGTCTCTCAACGGTCTGAAAAATCCACACCCGTGAGAGACGTAGTTAAATCAACCTAATTCCCCGTGTAGACAGTGTTAGCTGGATGGAAGAATTTTTCTGTCCACCTACCTACTGCCTCTCAGGTGGATTACCTACGATGACAAAAGAACCCCTCTTGTTGCTGTAGTAAGTGTCTACGCTGAAGCACTACAGCGGCGCACCTGCAGCATTGCAGCTCTGCTGCTGTAGCATTTTAAGTATAGATATAGTCTTAGGCACCTAATTTTCCCCATGCATTGTATACGAAGCCTAGGGATCTAACTTGGGAATGTGGATTCCATCAGGTGGGAATGTGTCTAAATGTTAGCAGTTGCAATGCTGAACCTGAGTTGTCTTTGTTGGTCTAGCCAAGGTCATTTAACTTAGGTCACACATCCTATTAGCCTTAAGAAAACATTCAGTCACTACTGACATAGACTGGATTTGAATGTGTTCTGCCAGTCTGTTTCCCCCTCCTCCCATCTGATCTATTATCATTAGTCCTCTGAGCCAGCCAGCATGCAAAAGGCACAACAATTTTCAGTTAAATTCAGTTAAATTTCCATCTAAAATGTGTGTGGGTTTTTTTTTTTGGTGTGTGACTCTTATCCCCAATTCCTGGCTTTAAGATCGCATCCATTCTAACAATATTAATGATGCTAGGTTGAATTTCCCACCAGCGAATTTTAAAAAGCAAGGCTATGTATAGTTGTCGTTCAACACCCCATCAATGCTGCACTCAAACCAATTCCCCTTCTTCACCAGCTATCTCCCTTCCTCTAACCACACCAAGCACATCTCCACCTAAATTGTAGATAACCAATGAGAACTTTTGAAATTCAATTCCAACTGTGTTTACTGGTTATCATGTTTGTGAATACACAGGTTTTTATTAGTGTGTGTAAGTGAGAAATGTCCAATTGCAAATGATGTCTGCAAGATGTTTTCCTGTAATGTTTAGGAAAACTTTTGTGTGAAAGGGTGATCTATGTTAGTAATTATTCTACAGTTGGTATATTTAATGTGGAAATGCAGATGGAAATTGTTTAATATCTGTACGTTAGACTAATAAATGCATTCATCACAATGGAGCTTTGCTGTGGTGAACTTCCTCTGGTTCACCAGAATGGAGCTCTTCTCCAGCAAACCACAAGAGATTCATCAGAGGGCAGCTCAACTGTGACCACAGAAGGTTGTTGTAGTGGAGCTGCTTTCTGACATGTTTCCTTCTTTTTGAGACCAGAAAGATATGAGGGGGTTAACAGCAGGAGAGAAGGAGTGTTGGATGAAGAGGAAAAGGTTGGGTTGTATATGGGGTGGTGATGTAGTGAGAAGGAAGAATAATCAGGGAAAGTTGGGGAAGAAGAGGGCATTTTTGCCTTCCCATGTTACATAAGAACATAAGAATGGCCATACTGGGTCAGACCAAAGGTCCATCTAGCCCAGTATCCTGTCTTCCAACAGTAGCCAATGCCAGGTGCCCCAGAGGGAATGAACAGAACAGGTAATCAAGTGAATCCATCCCCTGTTGCCCATTCCCAGCTTCTGGCAAGTAGAGGTTTAGGGACACCATCCCTGCCCATCCTGGCTAATAGCCATTGATGGACCTATCCTCCATGAATGTATCTAGTTATTTTTTTTTGAACCCTGTTATAGTCTTGGCCTTCACAACATCCTCTGGCAAGGAGTTCCACAGGTTCCCTGGGAAGACCTACCCTTCTCTAGAAGGAATTCAAGTTTGACAGACCTATTCAGGTCATCTGAATGGAATTCCTCTCTAGCAAACCTTTTATGGCTCACTAGAAGAGGGAAAAGATGCCTCCACCACAAAACTCCTAGTAGTTTGAGTCATACAAAGCTGTAACTCTCCCCTTCTTCCTGCTCCTGTTAGTAGTGGTGCTGGTTAAAAAATTTCCAGTGGAACAGTTTTCCATTGAAAAATGCAGTTTTGTCAAAATCAAAGGGTTTGCAGAAACGTGCCAAAAATTTAATCAAAATCAACAGGAGAGAGTTGAAACAATTTGTTTCGACTTTATCATTTTGATTCATTTTGTTTTGTCTTATATTAAAATATTAATATTTATATGTAATATATATTAACTTCATATAATGTGTTTGCCTTCTTCAAATGAAGAGTTTAAATAGTCTCAAATTAAAATTTGGAACAAAAACAATCAGTGTCAGAATTTCTCATGGAACAGAATTTTTTTTTCCCCCCTGACCAGCTCTACTTAGTAATGATAAAATCTAAGACACGGGGGTGATGGAGAGGGGTTAGGAGATGGGAGAGATTTTATCTGAAGTTGCTTCAGGAATGCAGCTACCTATTCTGGAGACCCTCCTGTGGTTTGCAAGAGGAGAGTCCTGAATTGAAGAAAAACTGGGAAAACTTCCATATGCATAAATGCAGGAGTGTGTGGCTAAAAGATGAGTTTGATTTGTAGAGGGCTATGGATAATATTGGACAGGCACAGAGATTGGTATCAGAGTTGTCCATTGGTCACAAGCTCCCTTCTAGAATCCAGTTTTCTGTCCCTAGTGGGCAGACTCCCTAATTTTGTGGGTTACACTCCCCCACCTTCCCTCAAATAGTTACAATTCGAAATGGAAAATTATTTTTTATTTTTTCATTAGTTCTTATTGCATAAATAAAGGTGGGAAAAATCTTTCTACAGTAGAACCTCAGAGTTAGGAACACCAGAGTTATGAAATGACTGGTCAACCACACACCTCATTTGGAACTATAAGTGTATAGTCAGGCAGCGGCAGAGACAAAAGAAAACAAAGCAAATACAGTACTGTGTTAAACGTAAACTACTTAAAAAAAAAAAAAAAAAAAAAAGTTTAAAAAAAAAATTTGACAAGGTAATCAAACTGTTACTGTGCTTGTTGCATTTACATAAAGAAGGGTAAAAGCAGCGTTTTTCTTCTGCATAGTAAAGTTTCAAAGCTGTATTAAGTCAGTGTTCAGTTGTAAACTTTTGAAAGAACACCCATAACGTTTTGTTCAGAGTTATGAACTGTTCAGAGTTATGAACAACCTCCATTTCTGAGGTGTTCTGCTGCAGTGGTTCTCAAAGTCGGATCGCTGATTGTTCAGGGAAAGCCCCTGGCGGGCCGGGCCGATTTGTTTACCTGCCACATCCGCAGGTTCGGCCGATCGCGGCTCCCACTGGCCGCGGTTCGCCGCTCCAGGCCAATGGGGGCTGCGGGAAGCGGCGTGGGCCGAGCGATGTGCTGGCCGCCGCTTCTTGTTTTG